GCCGTACAGCAGGCGGGGCCGCGCCCCCTCTTCCCGCCCTTCTCCCAGCCGGGGTGGGTGGCCGTGTCTCCTTCTTTCCTGCGCAGACTGGCGAGATCGTTGCCCTCAAGAAGGTGGCCCTGCGGCGGCTGGAGGACGGCATTCCCAAGCAGGCCCTGCGGGAGATCAAGGCTCTTCAGGAGGTCGAGGACAGTCAGTACGTGAGTGGGGCCGGCGGCGTGGGGACGTTCCGAGGCAGCGCGTTCCGGCGCCTTCACTCCCCCGTGCTCATTCATCCGCCCGTCACTGCCGTCCACCTGCCCACCCTCGTTCCCCTCATTACCTCAGTCCTCACTCGTTCCATCGCTCAGTTGCCCACTTATTTCTTCACGTACTCGTCATCCATTCATTCACCAGCTTATTCTTTTCAAAGCATTTAGCGGTTTCTAGTGATGATAACTAGCACCTGGAGAGCCCCTCACGTTCTGCAGGCTGTTCAATGTTCTGTGTACATTTGCGGGCTGAGTTCTCTTCGCTGCTCTGCAAGGAAGGTTCCAGGCGCTGTTTCTCACTGGAGGGGAGAAAGCGGGATCAGCAGGTCATGGGCCATCACTGGTCAGGGGAGGCACTGGCCCAGGTGTGACTGCGGAGTCCAGACATTCTTCCCTTGGGGCCTCCTCTAGGTTTTACCCTGTGCTGGGCACTGGTGACAGAGAGAGGAACTGGCCCAGCCCAGCTCCTGAGAACTTGTGTGCCAAGGGAAATAGACAGAGGCAGCAGGGCCCACCTTGTGTGGTTCGTGCTGTGACAGATAGTGTCACAGGGTGCTGTGCAGCCCTGACACCTCTGACACTGGTGGCCTCAGTGTGTGTGATGTGTCTCCAGCTGTCCTAGCGCCTGAGAAGGTGTGGTTCCTGGTGCCCTTCCCTTTGTGCTGGGATTTAATGGCTCTAGAGGAAACAGGAGGTCCGTGTTCATGTATGTGTGTGCGTGTCCATTGATTTTCAGGTGAGCAGGCTGTGCTGGGGGACCAGATGCTGCCACTGAGTGACCTTCTTTAGACCTTTTCCCCAAGTGTTAGTGGAGACTTAGAGTGGGACCTGCCTTGTCTTGGGAGAGCAGAGCACCGTGAGCACTGAGCTCCCTGATTCTGAGCTCAGGTCCCATGTCATGTTCCCTGCCTGGTCCTTTGTTACACATGGTCTGGAGGTCTCAGGTGGTTGCATAGAGGGTCTGGCGTTGGGAGTCTGGGGACTGATGGGCTGCCCCACCCACAGGTGGTACAGCTGAAGGCTGTGTTCCCACATGGCGCAGGCTTCGTGCTGGCCTTCGAGTTTATGCTGTCAGATCTGGCTGAGGTGGTGCGCCATGCTGAGAGGCCACTGGCCCAGGCACAGGTCAAGAGCTACCTGCAGATGCTGCTGAAGGGCGTCGCCTTCTGCCATGCCAGCAATATTGTGCATCGGGTCAGTCCCACAGTGGGCCAGGGGTGGGGCCTGGGGGGCTGATTCAGTCTGGAGGTAGGGTTAGCCCTTGAGGACGGTGTGGTCAGAGGGGGACAGAGGTGGTCAGGACCTTTAGGTAAGCAGACCAGGTGCGTGGCCCTGGAGGAGGTGGGGCTGGGACTGACCTGGGTGGTCAGCCTGCCAAGCTCCCTGTCCCATGGTTCTGGGGGGGATTCGGGCAACTGATGCCTCCTTTGGTCCCCCCAGGACCTGAAACCTGCCAACCTGCTCATCAGCGCCTCAGGCCAGCTCAAGATAGCAGATTTTGGCCTGGCCCGGGTCTTCTCCTCAGACGGCAGCCGCCTCTACACACACCAGGTGGCCACCAGGTAGGGCCAGATTCTCTCCAGCCCTCTTTCTGGGGATGAGGTGCTTCTGGGCCTTCGGAGGATGGAGCTGGGGTGACCTTCTGGAGCAGCATCCTATTAGAGCAGTGGCCTGGCTGTGACCACCAGCCGTCTTCCTCACAGGTGGTACCGAGCCCCCGAGCTCCTGTATGGTGCCCGCCAGTATGACCAGGGCGTCGACCTGTGGTGAGTTTCCTGTGGGCAGGCAAGGGATNTGCCCGCCAGTATGACCAGGGCGTCGACCTGTGGTGAGTTTCCTGTGGGCAGGCAAGGGATGATGTCGTCGTGGATTTCTGTGAGGCTTTGGGGCTCTAAGCTGTTTGGTGGTCTTTTCCTTGGTCTGAGCTCTAGGCTGCCTTGGGGGTGTCTTCCCTGGTTTGGGTATTCCGAGCAGTTTGGGGTCAGTGTTCCTCACCATGACGTTTTTGCTGTGGGTGAGGAGGTGGTCTGAGGCTCGAGGTGGGGAGTGTCTGAGACGAATGTCATATCTGAGCTGGTCAGAGGCCTGTGTCCCTGGCTGTGAAGGCACCGAGCCTTTTGGGGAAGAGGATGGTTTGTAGCACCGGAGGTTCTGAGATTTGGGTGCCTGTCACAGTTCACTGTGTGGTGGAGATGCAAAGATTACTCAGAGCCCAAGTATGAAGAGCAATGAGAAGCCCGAAGGGAGAGACAAACTCCTTCCAGGAAGAGGAAGCAAGGCGCAGCCCCAAGCCGGTTTTGCTTCAGCTTTTATTGTAAAGACAAGGAAGTTACAGAAGGAAAACAGATGGTTAATCAGTCATAGTAAGAACATAAAAGAACTGGCTCTGTGACAATCTTCACCCAAGCGTGTACAGCTCAAAAATAGTTTAAACAGTATACTATCAAAAGGAGTCATAAATCTAAGCTATGTAATGTACAAAAAGAAACAATAAGATATTTATCAGAGTGCCTAACTTTAAAGAAACTGCGTAGGGCAGGAGATGGAACGTCCCCCTTGTACTAACTAGTCTACCAGAACATCCTTGAAAATTTTAACCTATATACTTTCCCATCATTAACTTCTGCTGGACTAAGGGCAATTGCCTTCAGAACAATCCCTGTTCTGCCTCAGTGCTGTTATACACATTAAAGGCTTTAGTTTTGTGTAAATTCTCTGGTCCTACATTCTAAATCCTAAAGGTTTGGGCTTTGGCCCCATAGCTGTAGGCTTTGGCCTCCTAAACTAAGGACTTTGGTCCTGTAAAATTTACGTGTTTTAATTCTATCTTATTAATAACCTTTTAATCAATATCCTCTCCCGGGGCCATTTTACTGGCCTGCCCCAGAAAGTGCAGGGGGAGCTGTGCATCCTGGAGTGTGAGGCTCTGAGCAGTGTTGCAACTAACTGTTGGGGCTTTGCTCTGGGTTCTAGGGTTGAGGTCTTTGGGGGTCTGTACCCCTAGACATGAAGACTTTGGGCTGGTGTGCAGGGGTCTTGCCCCTGGTGTGAGGTTTGGAGCTGATGAGAGTAGGTGTTTGTCCCATGGTGGGTGATCTCTGAGCTGCTCGGGGTTCTGTGTCCACAGGGCTGTGGGCTGCATCATGGGGGAGCTGTTGAATGGGTCCCCCCTCTTCCCGGGTGAAAATGACATCGAACAGCTTTGCTGTGTGCATCGCATCTTGGGCACCCCCAGCCCTCAAGTCTGGCCGGTTTGCAGGGGCCCTTGGTAGGGAGGGTGTGGGGCAGGTTTACTCCATTGCCCGTCAACAAGTGGCTGCTTCCCCCCACCCCGCACCTTTTCTCTCATGGCCCCGACCCCTGTTGACCGACAGGGACCACTGTCCTCGCCCAGTTTGGGAGTTCCTCTTTCCTGCCATGCTGGAGGTGGGAGGGCCAGGTCCTGTCCTCTGCCCCTTCCCACCCCAGCACACGCATGGCTTGGCGTCTCAGCAAGCTGGGTACCAAGCTGGTATCTCAGAGGGTGAGGGGTTGGAGGAAGGAATGGAAGAGGGATGACTGAATGAGTGATAATGGGGACACATGGATGGGAGCTGTGAGTGAGCTTGTGTTAGGGACAGGAGCTGGCCTCTAGGGGAGTGGCAAGGGTGCTGCCTGCTCTCATGTTCCCCCCTCCTCTTCCGTGGCCCAGGAGATCACTGAGCTGCCCGACTACAACAAGATCTCCTTTAAGGACAGGGCACCGGTGCCCCTGGAAGAGGTGCTGCCCGACGCCTCTGCTCAGGCCTTGGACCTGCTGGGCCAGTTCCTCCTCTACCCTCCTCGCCAGCGCATCCCAGCCTCCCAGGTAGAGTAAGGCCATGGTCTCTGCTTCTTCAGCTTTTCTCATCCCCGCCATTGCCCCAGTACTCTGTACTTGATAGCTGTGTGACCCCCATCATGTCAGCAACCCTCAGATCCTCTGATGGGTGGGGATGAGAACCAGGCATCCCGGACACCTGCACTGTACCCAGAACCCCCAGGGGCCTCAGAGCAGGTGTGCCTCTCATGAGCAGACTCCACTGGACATCCCAGCGTTCCCCAAAAGGCTGCAGGAGAGCAGGGGCGACCTGTTAGAGGGGCATGCCCATCTCTCAGGAGAGCACAGGTCCAGGTGGGTGGGTCCTGGTCTGTCTCAGACCATGTGGCAGATACAGCAAGAGAGTTGTAGGGGACATGCTCCTTTATTCCTGCACCAAATATTTATTGAGCATCTGGCATGTGCTGGGCATTGTCCTGGGCCCTAGAATAGACAGAGGAGCAGACCTGCCTCTCCCCCGTGTCGAGGCAGCTTCAGGCCCAGAGAGTCACAAGAGGGCCTGCCCCTTATCTGTGGGAGCCCGAGAGGGATGGCGGGGCCAACTGTGGGGTCTAGCAAGGCTTCCAGGAGGAAAGGCGGGTTTAAGCATGAAGAGGTGTTTGAGGAGGTGTGCACCGAAGAGAGAAATGGTGAGCAATGGCCTGGAGAGGAGGCCCGGGAAGGTTGGTGTGGCTGGAGGCAGGGAAGGGCAGTGAGGATGGCAGGAGCCACAGGCTGATGGTGTCAGGGCCTCTCTCAGGCATACCTGTCCCTCCAGCCTGATGGCCACCATTCCCAGCCACACTCGGCACCACGCATGTCCTCTCAGTCCCCACTCAGCTCCCGTCAGTCTCAGTCAGCAGCTCCTGTGGGCTCTGCCTGCACAGTGCACCCAGCCGTCTGACCACTTCTCCCCCAGATCGCCCCCAGCACCTGCGTCCCTCCTCCTCCAATTGATCTCCTCTCCACCTGGCAGGCAGTGGCCTTGTCCCAGCAAAGCTGGTCACAACGCTCCTCTGCCAGGGCCTTGCGGCTCCCTCTAACTCAGGAAAAGCCAAGGCCCTTCCGATGGCCCACAGGAATGGTGTCCTTGGGCACCATCACTTCTTGACCCTGCCTGCTGGTGTCCCCCTTGCCCATTCCTCTCCAGCCCCACAGCCTCGTCCATGTCCTGGAACACACTGGGACACTCTCTGGGGTGGAGCGCTCTTCTCCAGGTATCCTGGTGCCTGCTCACCTCTTGCAGGTCATTGCTCAAATGTACCCCGTCAGGTGGCCTTCCCTCACCACTCTTCAAATCTGCAGCCTTTCTCCAGCATTCCTCATGCCTGTCTCTTGCTTTCTCTTTTCAACAGCACCAGTTGTTATCTGACATACTGTATATTTTACTCCATTTTCTTGTTTATTATCTTCCCCCTGCCCCTCCGCCT